AGTAGTATGTATCCATTGTATACGGTTACAATGAAATAATACCATGTTAAATTTAAGTAAAGCAAAATTGACATCTGTAGCGCCTTCCTGGTATAGTGTGGAAGCAGTTGCTACCACTCAAGACGAAATCCCCCTTCACCACGAGCTAAGCTGTAACAACACGTGCTTTATAATAACACTGGCTCAGGCTGATTCTCAACCGGCACGACCGCACCGCACCGCAGCGCATGACTTTGTAACGTGCGGCCGCATCGGTTGAGACCAAAACCAGCGACTGCGAGCAATCAATAACGACAGCTGGTGGTTACAAATAAATATTTAGTGATCTCAGCCGGCACATTCCAAGACCCCACCAGCAAAGAGAAAGTGAACCTGAACTACATGTATATGTATTTTACTAGCAGCTCACTAGTCATGTTGCTGCATACAGAATGTCATCTCCCGGACGGGCAGCGCGTACGCCACGAACTGTCTGCATTTCATCGCTTCTATTATCGTTGCTGACCAAAAATGATGCGAGAACAGGTAAAACCAAATAAAAAAACTCGTTTTCTTCAGCTTTATTAATAAGTAGTACATAGTTGATGGTAGTGAACGAATGTGTACCTCGCGAACGAAAGAGGAAGTGATCTTTTTAAGGTTGAAGCAGACACCCCCATAAGATCGTGAGTCACAAATCATTTTGATTGGTTATTCTTCACTCGACCCCTACACTCTACTGTGCGGCAAGTTTAGCGCATGCGGGCAAATTGCCGCATGAGCGTCTTTTTATGAACTTCGTCGCATGCGACCACCTACCCCGTAAGCCAATTAGAAGACTCTATTTGTCCTCCTGGGACCGCATGCGGTCTATATTTCCGGTTGAGAATGAGCCTGAGGCTCAGGGTCTTCGTTAAAATGGTTTCCTATTTCAATATATTAGTAGCATCCTTCAGTCCACTGCCGATACGCAATGCCGGGGACCAAACTCACTCGCTCTCCACCATCTTAGCGTAGGTCATCAAGCTTGTAGATCACCATGCGCGAGCTTTGATAGACGGTCGCAAATCGCCGTCACGCTTACTTCGCATTCTCACGGATGAACTGCTCTACCTTCTCAAACTTGGAGCTCACGTAAGACGCCGCCACTTCGCCGTCCTTGTACACGCGGAACGTTGGGAAGCTGTCGACGTCGATCTCCTCGCAGAAATCCTCTAGCTCCTCCGCGCTCACCTTGAGGAACTTGACGTCAGCGAAGTCCGACTCCATCAGTTTGGTCACCTTGGGGGCCACCATCTTGCAGCCGCCGCACCACGGCGCAGAGAACTGCACGACCGTCAGCTTCTTCTCGCCGATAGCGGCGTTGAACTCTTCGGGGGTGTTGATCTCGACAGGCATCTTAGATGGGTGTATGGTTTGTTTGATCTTGTTGTTCCTTAGCTTCACTGCTTGTCTGTAAATGCGATTCTGAAGTGCGTGGCGGCTGGCGTGGCGCGCTTCAGTTTTGGTCGAAGCTCGCAACGTCAGACATGGGGTCAGGTAGGACAGCTTCACTGATTGGCTCCATCCGCGTCTTTGGATGTCGTCCCATTCGTCAAAAAGTCTGGAGCAGATTATCAGCGAATCACCATCGGAGACTTTACAAGTCGACTTATTAAAACCGACGTAATCGCAAAGATGACCAGCATATCGCAACGCGGAAAACCTTTGCCAAGAACTTAAATGACAGTTTGTTCGCTATTGTACCGGTCTGTGCAGCACAGGCGTATGAATATCTAGCGCAAGACAAGATAAGACCACCAATAAAAAAAAAACATTCGTCAGTAGGTCAACACAAAACGGAGTTTTTAGGCTGACACAATTTTCCGATGATGCTGTGCGTGGCTTTTGCACTTCTTCCTTCCAACAGCAATCGGTCCAATTTGATGCTGCAATGCATTAATACAGCCATTTTGAATGATGCAGTGATTTTACGGCTACAGTGAGCTGTCCGCTCGTGAGATTTGAGTGCAGTTTGATAAAATGGAGCCATTTTACGCCATCTGCTGTTTATGATAAATACGGTACTATTTTCTGCCAATCGGCAGCTATTTGGCAAAACGCGAGAAGTCAGACAGGGGAGAGTGCAATGAGCTCGGACGCAGGCGGCCCGCGCCGCAGCCACCGTAGCGCCGGCAATGGACAGCAACGCCCTGGCAGCTTCCGTTTCAGCAGCGACCAATCAACTACCCAGGCGTCTCCTCGTCCATCACGCCAAGTGCGCCACAGCGTCAAGAAAACCGCATCCATCGAGGAAGGAGACTTTGTGTGGGTGAGTGACGAGAGCGGCGTTTGTTCGTCCGCCGTGGTGGTGCGTACAGGCTTCGTATTCGACGAAGATTCTGGCCAGGAGCAGCATGTGACGGTCGTACACACGGAGGACGGCGAAGAGCGCGCTATTCGCGACCGTCCATTGGTCAAATTGCCAGCCTGTCACCACCCCAAGCAATTATTGCCCTTGGAGCTACACGACCTCAGTAATGTGCCATTAATGGCAACCAATGGAGACACAGGACGAACAGAGACATTCACGTCCCAACAGTTAGAGAACGTGGCGCTCTACAGTTTAAGAGCAAGATATCGCATGGAACAGGTCTACACGTGGGTGGATCGCGTGCTAGTCGGGGTGAACCCTGTGACTCCGTTGCCCATATACACTCCAGACCACATGCAAGCCTACAATAAGAGCAGGGAGCAGACGCCACTGTACGAGAAAGACACCGTCAATGACGCACCGCCGCATGTGTTTGCATTGGCTCAAAATGCTCTGAGATGCATGCAGGACGCAGGAGAAGACCAGGCCGTTATTCTACTTGGTGGGATGGGCGCTGGCAAGTCCGAGGCAGCCAAGCTCATTGTCCAATATTTGTGCGAGATCGGAGACAGCGTCACGCCTCGACATGACGCAGAAGGAGACTCAGGCGTGCTGCACCCTATTGGACAGCAGATTTTACATGCGTTTACCATTTTAGAAGCGTTCGGCAACGCTGCTACCACACAGAACTCCAACTCGTCCAGATTCGCCAAGATGATCTCAGTGGAGTTCAGTAAACATGGCTACGTGATCGGAGGCGGGTTTACGACGCATTATTTCGAGAAATCTCGTGTGATTGACTGTCGTAGTCACGAACGCAACTTCCACGTGTTTTATCAAGTACTTGCAGGCGTGCAACACGACCCCACACTTCGTGATTCTCTGGAGATGAACAAGGGCGTGGAGGAGTTTGATCTGTTGAAGCAGGCAGACCCGGAAATTACCAACTTCGCGCTTGATGCTCGTGACTACAGAGACCTTATGTCCAGTTTTTCAGCCTTGAGGATCAGGAAGAATCAGCGTGTCGAGATCGTGCGTATTGTGGCTGCGCTGCTGCATTTGGGCAATGTGGATTTTGTCCCAGACCCGGAAGGTGGCAAGTCTGTGAGTGGAGCTAATTCCACGACTGTAAGTGATGCTCAGTCGTGTGCATTGAAGGATCCAGCGCAGATCTTGCTTGCAGCCAAGTTATTGGAGGTGGAACCTGTGGTGCTGGACAATTATTTTCGTACTCGTCAGTTTTTCTCGAAAGATGGCGGCAAGACAGTGTCCTCGCTGAAAGTGGTGACTATACATCAAGCACGTAAGGCGCGAGACACTTTTATGCGAAGTCTGTACGAGTCTCTCTTTAATTTCCTCGTGGAGACGCTCAACGGCATTTTGGGCGGCATCTTCGATCGCTACGAGAAGTCAAACATTGTGATTAATTCACAAGGCGTTCACGTACTGGATATGGTCGGCTTTGAGAACTTGGAGCCATCGCAGAACAGTTTTGACCAGCTTTGTTTCAATTATTGGAGTGAGAAAGTGCACCACTTTTACGTCCAGAACACGCTGGCCATCAATTTCTCGGATCTGGAAGACGAGTCGCAACAAGTGGAGAACCGACTGACGGTGCACTCCAATGTGGACATAACGAGTGAGCAGGAGAAATGTTTGCAGCTGTTTGAGGATAAACCGTTCGGTATCTTCGATCTGTTGACGGAGAACGCCAAGGTGCGCGCTCCTAATGACGAGGATTTCGTTAACAAGTTGTTTTCTGGTAACGAAGCTGTGGGCGGACTGTCTCGACCGAACATGGGCGCTGATACGACGAACGAGTACTTGGCTCCGTCCAAGGATTGGCGGTTAATGTTTATTGTTCAGCACCACTGCGGTAAGGTTACGTACAATGGCAATGGACTTTCAGCGAAGAACGCGCTGAGTATCTCGTCGACGTGTGCAGCCATCATGCAGTCGTCCAAGAATGCTGTTCTGCATGCTGTGGGCGCCGCGCAAATGGCTGCAGCGTCCAGTGAAAAGGCAGCGAAGCAAACTACTCGTCGAACCAGTACTTCGTCCAAGTTCCGGAGCTCTATCAGCTCGGCAAGGGAGTCTAAAGCAGCCAGTGATAGTGCAGCGACTGACGTGTACAACCAGGCTGACGCTCTACTGCATGCGTTGAACCACACTGGCAAGAACTTTCTCGTGTGTATTAAACCCAATGAAGACCTGGAGGAAGGCGTGTTCGACTCGGCCTACGTGATGAAGCAAATCCGAGAGAACCATCTGGTAGAGTTGATGCAAGCGAGTCGCTCGATCTTCACTGTCCACTTGACATACGGCCACTTTTTCCGACGCTACAAGAATGTCTGCGGCCATCGAGGAACGCTCGAGTCGCTTCTGCGCTCGCTGTCTGCTATTGGTGTGTTGGAAGAAGAGAAGTTCGTGGTGGGGAAGACCAAGGTCTATCTGACCAGTCACCAATGGAAAAAGCTGGAGAAGGCGCGGTTTTTGTACCTGAACGCCTGTGCGACAATGATCCAGCGCAATATGCTTCGTGGTGGCTTCCGTAAGAAATCTGCGCGGTTGTTGTATGTTATGCGCGGTCTACGTGAAGCGATGGCGCAGAGAGACCAGAACGATATTATACAGCACCTGACCAACTGTAAGCAGATCTTGGGGAAGCGCGCGTCAGAGGACATTCGTGTGTTGAACGAGGGGAGGCAGTTGATCGCTCGACTGGACGAGGAAGAGTACGTCAACTCGATCATTGCAGATGCCACACGTATCGGCCACCCGGCCCTGATTGAATATGCTGTACGTGTCGCTGAGAAGAGCTCCCCATGGCTTGCAGTGGACCATTTGCGGAGGAAAAGCAAGAGCATTGTGGCTATGCAAAAGCAGAAGACGGAGAAGCTCGCTGCTGTCAACAAGAAGCTCCGTGCGTCTATGATTGCTAATGACCCGGAGGCACTTATGGGCTCATTGGCGACACTGGAAGAGCCTTCGGTGGAGTCGTTGGAGAGGAAACTGGCGACTATGATGATCATTCGAGCTCTCGAGGAGAAAAGCGCCGTGGAGTCTGTCACACATGCGCTTTCGACCATTGGAGGAGACGATAATGATGCTTCGATTTTGAAAAAGTTACTGGCTCCTGCGACGAAAGCTATCAGCTTGGGTGTTGAAGTGAAATTACCGACTGTTGTGGACACACTGGGCACGATTCCTACTGATTTAGAAGCTGTTACCGACGAGGAAGAGGAGGAAATTGAAGAAGAAGTGGAAGTCGAGGTGGAAGAGGAGATAGAAGAGGAAGAAGAGGTCGTTTCAAGCTCTCCAGCTGTGTCTGCTGACACGACTAACTTAGTAGCTGCTCTTCAGAAGGCTCTAGACGACGAGAACTTTGTCGCTGCGGAACGAGTATTAGCTCGTCTAAGAGCTGTTGGTGTTTCCGAGGGAGACTTTCGAACAGCTGATGCAGAGCGTGCTTTGGAGGCTCAGACTGTTCCTGCTAGCTCGCATTCGGAACGGAAGCAAATGGTAAAGTTCTTGGCCGTCGCGAAGATGTCACAAGATATCGAATTGTTGTCTGAAGCCATTGAAGCTGCTGTCAGCGTGGGCTTGGCGAAGTGGGATTTCAATCTTAAAAACGCCGAAAGAGAGCGAGAAAAGCTGCTGGCAGCTGCTGAATCAGGCGAAACTCCTCCCCCAGCTCCAGTTTCTGTAGTAAAACCAGCTTCTCCCAAGACGAGGATTGTCGTGAAAAAGATCAAGACGATAAAGAAGGTGAAGAAAGAGAAGAAGATGTCAGAACCGGCACATATCGGTCTCTTCTTGCAGGTCTGGGAAGCTCGTCGTGTCAGCGATCTCGACCAGCTGCGCTCTGTCCTTCCAGCTCAATTACAAGGTGCGTACGACGCCAAAATGGCGCGATTGCAGCAAGTGGCGAGTGTGGAGGAAGCTCTAAGTGAAGCGCTTGATACAGACGACCCCAAGGTCGTGGAACATGAGCTTGGCGAGTCTATCAGTATCGGCTTTTGCTCTCCTTTGTTCGCTGCGCTATTCGACCGCTACTCGACGCTGCGCAGTGGAGCGAATGGCGAAGATGCAGCCGATGATTATGGTATAGTGGACGGACTCCGTGCTGCTATTCAGCTGTTGACTCGTCGAGTGGAAGTCAACGCTGAGATTCGAAACGACGCGGTCCAGCTCTTGTCGACGGAAATTGAGGAGTTCTCCAACCCGACAAGTGGCGAGAATGAAGTCAACTACGACGATGCAGAACGCGAACAGATTCTGCTTACAGCAGGCAACTTACGTCGCAGTTTAGAAGCTCGTATCGCTGCTGCTGCTCGTCTGGAAGCAACGCTGGCGCTTCCTACTGATGCGTCCTCTGTTGGGGCGTTGGAACTGAGTATCCAAGCGGCAAGAGAAGCTGGCGTTCACGAACGATTGCTGATGAAGGCTGAAGATAAAATTTTGTCAGCTCGAAGGAGATCTGTCGTTATGGGTGATCGACTGCGATCAAGTGGCCCGGGATCGCTCACCCGCAATGACAGCGAGACGAGTAGTCGACCCAGTATGTTAGATGAAGGCGAACGTCCACGTTGCGACACGACCGAGTGGCCGGGAGTTTCTAACGAGGACGAAGAAAATTCAAGCGACAAAAAGTCCAAGCAGACTGCGGAGAAAGATGCAGTAGCGTTCAACCATTTCGAGAACTTGAGGGGATTTAACTCCCAATCCGAGCGCGCTCTGGCGAAGAAATTGTGCTGGGAGAGCCGTGCGATCTCACAGAGTCTCTCAGTGCTGGACGGCAATCTGGACGAAGTCTCGTCTCTCGCTACGTCTGCGTCGGCAGGACAAATGGCGCTGTCGATCAACCGCAGCATCCTGGGATACATGAGAGACCGCATTGTGTTCTACCGCGAGATGTTGGCGCAGTACATTCTCCAGATCGGACTGATGAAGCCATCTGTCGTGGACGAAATCTACCTGCAGCTTATGAAGCAGTTGACGAAGAATCCGAAGCGAGACAGCAGTATTCGTGGCTGGTCGTTGTTTGCCATGTGTGCGACGTCCTTCCCGCCGTCACTAGCGCTACAGAAGTACGTGATTATGTTCCTGAAGGCTCAAGTGGCTGACTCCAACAGCTTCTGGAGACTCGTACGCAACTTTGCGGCGTATTCGCTCAAGAAACTGGAAAATTTGCTCGAGAATGGCGCAACTGGGTTTATTCCAAGCATCGACGAGATCCGAGGCTACGAAGCTCGACCGCCTTTCCTCGCTACGATCCAGTTGCTGGACGGCACGCCGCTAGCCGACGCCTTCCCGGTCACACCGGAGCTCACAGTAGCCCAACTGGTTGAGATTTGCTCCCATTTCCTCGGTCTTGAAGATCATGTTGTCAACTTCTTAGGCCTCACGACAATATCCGAGCGTGTTGTGCTCGGGAAGAGCGGCCAGTCGACTACAACGACCTCGTTCGTGTCAGCAAGCAACGAAGACCCCGTGGCTGATGGCAATGAAGTGAGCTCGAAAGATATCCCGCCACCTCCAACCCTTACAGTCAGTACATCGACGTCCTCGACGACCTCTGCTCTGTCTCCATCCAGTTATTTCCACAAATTCATCGCCGCGCCGTCATTCTTGAGCTCGGATGTGTTTCTGGGCGATATCTTTGAGAAAGAATTGATCCGTGGACGTGACGTGCGGTTCGTGCTCAAGATCCGACTAAACCCAGTGTACATGTTGCAGTACACGGACGAGATGTACGACCGTCTGGTGTACATCCAAGTACAAGATGAGATCGTGAAAGGAAACCTGCCTGTACTGGAAGAGGAAGCTCTACTTCGTCTTACCGCACTCGCTATTGCAGTGGACTGTGAAGATGTGCCGCCTGTGACTGTAGAGGAAATCATGGAGATGGGGGTGCTGGACTATCTTCCCCAAGAGTGGAGACCAGCACATGATGAAGAGGAATGGAGTGAGCTGGTGCTGGATACTATCACGGACAACCTTCTAGACGAGCAGGACGCCTTGTTCCCTGTCAGTGAGCTGCAGCGTATTTACATTGAAGAGGTAACACGTCACCGACTGTACGGCGCCTGCTTCTTCCCGTCCAAGTTGGTGAACCGCGGCTCCAAGGGCTCTGGCAACGGACTCAACTATTGTCTGGGTATTGAGCTGCCAAACTACTTCGTCATTGCTGTGAACGGCTACGGCATGCACATCCTTGGACGCGACGGCTCCATGCTCGCTTTCTGCGATTATGCAGACATTGCGTATTGTGGTGGCGCGTACCCCCAGTATAAGATTTGTCTGAAGAAGGCATCCGACTTGGCCGCTCCTGTGGAAGACATCATCGTCACCACGAAATACTCGGAAGAACTGGACGCTCTTATCGCAGACTACAAGGAGATTACGGCGCTCATGAACGAGGCGTAGAGATCAGATCGTAAATGTTTTAACGCATAGAATGTCGATATATTTTCCCATCTCTTCTTTGTTGCAAAAAACAATTAGCTAGATATATAAATTAACAACCTCGACGACAAAAAAAAACTTGGAGCATGGTGTCAGGAGAGCATTCGTCCAGCGAGTACGTTGACGAGGTTCTTGCTCTCGTGTTCAGGTTCAAATACCGAGGTAGGGTGTTCTCCTGTCCACTTGGGAACACGGTAACGAGGGTCTTTCATCAAGAACTGCATCATCTTCTCCATCACCATGTCCGTCTTCTCAAACAGCCGGACGCCCGTTTCCTCCGCACGACGATCGAGTTTCGACGTTGTGGTTTGTAAGTTGACAATACACAGCGATCCCGCGTAGTCTCCAGCCATTTCAGAGAACGGTTCGACTCGTAGAGATGTGCCCAGAACCAGCGCGACATCGGCCGCCTCACATTCATCAATCGCCAAGTCAATGTCCCCCAGTGGCTCATCGAACCCCACGACATTCCGTTTCAACCGGCCGTTTCCATGCCGTGTGCGAGCTCTCAGTCTCTGCTCGACTGTTCTCTTCGTACTCACACACTCGGAGTCATCACACAGCCCCGTCCAGGGGAAGTCCTTGGTGTAGATCTTCTCGCACGTCTCGCACTTGGCGTGTGTGGCATTACCATGCACCTCAGTCAGCGCACTAGCTGGCACGCCACTTTTTAGATGCAGATTGTCCACATTTTGGGACACGACGTGCTTCAAGTAGCCCAGTCGATGCAGCTCATACAGCGCCATGTGCGTTGTGGAGGGCACCAATTTGTTAAAATCTGGGATTATAGGCTTGCTCTCCTCGTTTTTGACGTCGCTTTCGTCCCCGTCACTGCTCTCTCCATTGTCTTCTTCGCCTGTTCGTCGTTTCTTAAAGTTTTTGGTGCGGATTCCGTGCTCTCCGCGATAGTCTGGGATGCCCACGGACGTGCTGATGCCGGCGCCTGTGAACGCTACCAGGTGTCGGGAATTAGCGATCAGTTCGGCCAGTTTGCGGCACTTTTGGTCGAGCTCTTGGTCGGAGTTATTGTCGTGTTTTAGTGCTGCTTCGTGGGGCTTGGAATCTTCTTCCGACTTGATGGGGAACGAGTTTTGTAGACTGTCGAGACAGAAGTCGCGTCGTGCTGAGCGCAGAAGCGCCTTCATGGGTGCAAGTTGGTAGTTGTGGGCGGCAGGGAGGTAGTCGTCGCTGTCGCTGGTCGTGCGGCACCGCTTGAACGCGGCCGAGGAGGCCAACATGACGCAGCCACTGATGGACTTAAGACCAGGACTACTTGGTATACTCAGTGCAAAAGGGAAAATAGAGTGGGAAACGGCGCAAAACTCCAGCGTCTTATGTGTGCGATTACATGATGTGGGGCACAGATTTCGATGATCGAAAGTTGAAGCTGGCCTTTCTTCTTTTTAGTCAAGTTTAAATCTAGAAATGTGCTAATCAGCTCTAGAAATCAGATCGAAAAGGTAGTACTTTTAAAATCACATTATTACAATTTATGACGAACAAGGATTATTGTTTCTTTAAAATTAAGATCGTTTTCAAATCACTCAGCTGGCAATAAGCTTTAGACTGACAGTCAACCAGTGACTGAACGAAAAATACAAACACGAACTTCGGTTGTGTGATAATATTTGCGCTTACATGCTACAAGTACTTGTTTGTGCTCAGTCAAGCACTATTTATATTCTCCTCATTATGCAATGTAAAGTATTAGTAGTACTTGGAGATATCTAACTGTAAAGTGTTGAGTCGCCTGGGGGTCTCAGATTCTGAGTCAGAAGATCTGACTCATTCCCAGCCCTTAAAAATATTTTTTGTAACTATGACTGCGTACGCGAAGAAACCACCTCATCACAAGCTGAGATTCGCTTAGAGGAACCAGCCGATCTGCGCATCCTGTTATCACTGATATGTTACAAGAGCCAGAGTACCATGAGCTATTTTCACAGGAGCTATTAAAAAAAGCTCTACTGCAAGTACATGTACTGACATGACTTGACAAAATCTGCCAAGTAGTATTATTAATACTACAGAAGTACTGTAGTAGTACCAAGCACGATTGAAAAAGTCGATTAGTTAAACAAGTTAATACTAATATAGTACTACATAGTACTAAATACAATACTACGTGCACCTACGCCAACTTCAGAACGTCTTGCCCACAAGCGCAGCCTTGGTGTTCGTGATCAACGTCGGCACAACAGACGGATCTGCCAATGTCGATACGTCACCCAACGAGTCCTCCTCGCCGTGAGAAATCTTACGCAGCACGCGACGCATGATCTTGCCACTACGCGTCTTCGGTAGACCAGGAACAAGCACAATCAGGTCGGGTGTTGCGAACGCTCCAATCTGCGCGCGCACCTGTTGAACAAGTTCCTTTTCGACGTCCTTGGATCCATTTACACCATCCACCAACATCACGAAGCAGCATATACCTTCTCCCTTAATACGATGCGGAATACCAATCACAGCCGCCTCCGCCACCACGTTGTGTGCTACCAATGCACTCTCGATCTCAGCCGTACCGATACGGTGCCCCGACGTGCACAACACATCGTCGATACGGCCCGTGATGAAGTAGTAGCCGTCTTTATCGCGACGACAGCCATCACCCGTGAAGTACAGACCCTTGTGTGTCGACATGTACACTTGAAGGTAGCGATTGTGGTCGCCGTATACAGTGCGAGCCATACCGGGCCACGGCTTACGGATACATAGCTGACCTTCGACGTCGTTGCCTTTAATCTCATTACCATGTTCGTCGGTGACAACGAAATCGATGCCGAAGAATGGCTTCGAGCACGACCCAGGCTTCATTGGAGTAGCTCCAGGCAGACCCACGCCAATGTGTCCACCAGTCTCAGTCTGCCAATAAGTATCTGCAATGTAGCACTGGCGGTTGCCCACCACTTCGTAGTACCATTTCCACGCCTCAGGGTTGATGGGTTCACCGACGCTACCCAGCACCTTCAGACTCGACAGGTCATACTCACGGATCTTGTCATTGCCACGAGCCATCAAGGCACGGATAGCCGTCGGTGCAGTGTAGAACTTGGTCACCTTGTGACGTTGGACCAGATCCCAGTAGCGACCGTGGTGCGGATACATAGGCGTACTCTCGAACATTACAGTAGTCACACCATTCGCCAATGGGCCGTAAATGATGTAGCTGTGGCCTGTGATCCAACCTGCGTCGGCCACGCACGCGAAGATATCGTCTTTGTGAAGGTCAAACGTGTATTTGGCTGTCATCATGGTGTACAGCAGATAACCGGCGGTTGTGTGAGCAATCCCTTGGGTGTACCCGTGGATCCTGACGTGTACAGGATGAACATGAGGTCTTCCGAGTTCATGAACTCGGCCGGGCAGTATGGACGGTGACGTAGCAGTTCCTGATCCATATCCACATCGATCTTGGGGTTCATCTTGACGTCCGGGTTGTGAGTGCGCTTGAACACAAACACCTTGCGCACAAAGTCCAGTCCATCCACGGCGTGATCTACGATTTGCTTGAGTGGCAGCGTACGGCCGCCACGTTTGCCCTCGTCGGCCGTGAAGACCCACTGAGACTGAGCGTCCACCACACGGTCACGCAGAGCGTCAGACGAGAAGCCTGCGAACACGACGCTATGCACGGCGCCAATGCGCGTACAGGCCAGCATAACGAAGGTTACCTCTGGGATCATGGGCATATAGATGGCTACAGTGTCGCCACGACGGACACCCGCGTGCTTCATGGCGTTGGCGATACGACACGTTTCTTCTAGGAGCTCTGTGTACGAGATGTTGCGGCCTTCGCCTATCTCGTCCGCCTCCCAGATAATGGCCGTCTTGTTCGGGTGTTTCGTGACGTGACGGTCGATGCAGTTGACACTCACGTTGGTCTCTCCGTTCAGGAACCAGGCCGCGTCGCCCTTGTTTACAGTACCCACCACGGCCTGGTCAAACTCACGGAACCAGTCGAGATTTTTGCGCCCCAACTCTCCCCAGAAACCCTCGGGATCGTCAAGCGAGCGCTTGTACATGGCCTCATATTGCTCCATACTTTGGATGTGGGCCGTATTCGACAAGCCATCGGGCACTGGGTGCACCCCGTTAAAGCTCACGCCGGCACTGTCTCCCATACTCGATGATTGAACGGCTATCAGGCTGGCGATGCAAATTCCGAAATGGGAATGGTTTCTTTCTGTGAGACCTCGTCGGTTCTGATTGGCTGAGAGGTCCAACGCGCAAGGCACCCACGAGAAAAAGGGCACATGGTCCAACAGTCATGTACAGATCACTTTCGCTGCTGTTTAACTCGGCTCGAAGGCGACAACTTCAACGAGCTCCATCCCTAGCAAGGCAAGTCATCACCTGAAACGCTGCTAGGATAACGTCGGCATCGCCTCGGAGGTCACCTTGTGGTGGTCCAGCACTTCTGGAACGCCGCTCGCCGCCTCCCGGCAATTCGCACGGCCGTGGTTTCACTTCGACGTGAAAAGGCACAAGCTTTCACTTCCTGGCTGGCAACATGTAATCTGCACTGCATTTCACTTGAATACTGTGCATCTTGCTACTTTAATTACATCATGAGGCTCAACATCAATACATGTACATCTCCTTGTTTCGCTACTTACTCTGGCGTGCAAATCGGTTGGGGACAAGAAGAAACTTCAACGTGGCCATCTCATTCGAGCGGTCGTATGGCCCGACGAACGGGTATCCGGTCGGTGCTTGTTGACGACCACCAAGTAGGACCAGCCAGTGCGATTGCTTCAGTCGTGAAGTTTACCTGCACGCTGGCGGTGGAACGAGCTCCTGTGGCCTCGGCAGCAAACGAGAGCAAAGCTTTTGGCACGAGGAGCATGTTGAAGTCGACGGCAACTTGCCGTTTCGGCGGTCAATCAGCGGCTTTTGCTCGCGACGCAATATCAACTTGCGCATCAAGCGAATACTTAGCGGCACTGGAATTCGTACTTACGCTTACTTTATCCAAGCTTATTCCGTTTAACGGCTGGTGTGAAACGCAAGCCTTTTGACGGTGGTGCAGTGCTTTTGTCAATAAGAACGCATGACGTAACAGAGAGGTCACTAATTGAGATGTAAGGTTTGTACTTTAATGAACGTGTCCTTATTCGAAAATCCTAGATGGGTCCAGCCACAGGTTCAAGGTGAACAGCCTCAGCTCTGGTGCTTCTTATCACAGGCGCAGGTTTAATCTACCCAATTACCTGTATCAGCGTATATTTTACTATTTGAGGTATCTTCAAAATATCATTTATTAAATATGTTAGATTATTGAAAAGCATTGCTTTGAAAAGTACAATGCTTTCAAAAATTATGATTTACAGACTCCGTTTATCTTCAGCATCAAGATTAACGGGGTCACAAGCAGGGCAACAACATGATGTGCCAAGTGCAGTTACCGGAAAGGCAGGATTCTGAAGGAGGCGGCGCCAGTGGCGCCGCCACCACTTGCCTACCTCACAATCAAATTTGCCTCGTCGAGTGCACCGCTCACCGCAGCCTCAAATCTCTCACTCCACACGTTTAATTATGGGCGACAGTGCCGGCGTGAGTGTCAACGGACAGTACCCTCCGATCCAGGAGCTGGCCAAGACGGCCCACATCAAGAACTTTGAGCAGTACGAGGCCATGTACAAGCGTTCGCTTGAGGATCCGGAAAATTTCTGGGGCGAGCTGGCCCGCGAGAACCTCGACTGGTTCCGCGACTTCGACCAGAGCGTTGTGGGCACCGTCAACAAGGGCGACGTTGCCTGGTTCCTCAATGGCCAGATCAATGTGAGCGTCAACTGTATCGATCGCCACGTCAAGAAGCACGCGGACAAAGTGGCCATTATCTGGGAGGCTGATGAGATTGGCCAAGGCCGTGAAATCACCTACACGGAGCTGCTGGAGGAGACGTGCCGCGTGGCCAACGCCATGAAGCACGCTGGTGTTAAGAAGGGCGACACTGTGGCCATCTACATGCCTATGATCCCGGAGATTGCCTTCGTCATGCTAGCCTGCACACGTATTGGTGCCGTGCACAGCGTCGTGTTCGCTGGTTTCTCGGCCGACGCTCTGCGCGACCGTCTCATTGACGCCAACACGCACTGGGTCTTCACCTCGGACGAAGGCAAGCGTGGCGGTCGCACGCTTCCACTCAAGCAGATTGTCGACGTCGCAGTGGACGGTCTGGACTTTGTGCGCAACGTGTTTATCTTCAAGCGTACTCACAACCCGAACGTCAAGATGAACCCCAAGATCGATGTGGATATGGATGAAGAAATGAAGCGTCACCGTCCCTACTGCGCTGCTGAGTTCATGAACGCGGAGGACCTCATGTTTATCCTGTACACGTCTGGATCTACGGGTGCTCCCAAGGGTATCGCCCACACGACGGCCGGCTACCTGCTCTACGCTATGATCACATGCAAGTACACGTTCGACCTGCAGCCCGACGACATCTACGCTTGTGTGGCCGACGCCGGTTGGATCACTGGCCATAGCTACATCATCTACGGCCCGTTAGCGAATGGAGTCACCACGCTCATGTTCGAGAGCACGCCGATGTACCCGGACCACGGTCGCTACTGGGACTTGATCCAACGCTACAAGGTGACCAAGTTCTACACGGCCCCGACTGCTATCCGTGCCCTGATGGCTCGTGGCAACGATAAGATCAAGGACTACGACTTGTCCAGCTTGAAGATCCTGGGCAGTGTCGGCGAACCCATCAACCCTGAGGCCTGGAAATGGTACTACGAAGTGGTAGGCAACCGCCAGTGCTACATCGCTGATACGTACTGGCAGACGGAGACCGGCGGACACATTGGCGTGGGTCTGCCTGGTGCTACTCCGATGAAGCCTGGTTCCTGCACCAAGCCATTCTTCGGCATCGATTTCGTGGTCACTGATGAGAACGGCAATGAGATCAAGGGCAACGACGTCGAAGGACAGCTGTGCATCCGTAAGCCGTGGCCTGGCATGGCCCGTACTGTGTACGGCAACCACAATCGTTATCTGCTGACGTACATGGCGACGCACAAGGGTCTGTACTTCACTGGTGACGGCTGTCGTCGCGATAAGGACGGCTACTACTTCATCACGGGTCGTATTGACGATGTTCTCTGCACTTCTGGTCACCGTATTGGCACGGCTGAAGTTGAGAACACTCTGGTGGCTCACAGTGTCGTAGCAGAGGCGGCTGTGATCGGTATTCCTCACCGTATCAAGGGCGAGGGTATCTGCTGCTTCGTAATGCTTGTCGAGGGTGTTGAGCCGTCCAAGGAAGTCGAAAAGGAACTGGTGCAGCAGGTGCGTGCCCACATCGGCGCCTTCGCCTCACCAGATCTGATCGTGCTGGTGCCGGGCCTACCGAAGACGCGCAGTGGCAAGATCATGCGTCGCGTCCTGCGTAAGATCTCGCACGGCGAGGAAGACTCGCTGGGCGATGTGTCCACACTCGCAGATCCTTCCGTAGTGCCAGTTCTGATCACCAACACGAAGGCGGCGCTCGTCGGCACGTCGTTTTAAGTCGTCCCCGCCTCATTCCCCCCCCCCCGCTCGTCTGTGTATCGATAGTCGTCGCAAATGCACCGACCTCGATTTTGTTGGTTCTCGTACTTTTTCGCTAATGGAGTGATCGTTTCTTCCACATTTTGGTGTGCCTCGTTGCCTTGTGCTTGTTGGTGGTTTGAAGGTCCAGGGGAAGTCTGCGATTGCTCCAGAACTGCGTAAACTGCACTTGAAAACTGAAGTTGAAGTGCTGCGTCATAGACCCGCCCGCAATGAGGGATCTTAGCGTCATGGCGTGTCGCACATGCTCAGAAAATGTACGAGTTGACGCTGGATGAGGACTCCTCATTTTGAAGCGTGCGGTATTCCAGCGCCTCCATCTTCATGGAAGCACCTTGTACATACATGTAGTAGGAATCCCAATTCGTGCTCAAACACTCCCACTTTCTTGAGCACGAGTTTTTTCTCAATAAAAAATGATTTACTGGAAGTATCGAGGCCAAAAGCACTGCTGAATTGTATTTTTGCCGAGCGCCCTCATCTCATCAACTTGTATGATGTAGCGGTCTGGGGCCCAGACTCTGGGCTGGATTGCCTTGCGCGTCATGTGCGCTGGCACGGGCTATTTCACATGGTCCCTGTCGTGAACGGCTCGCGATGCTTGCTTATCCAGTTTTCAAGTCCCGCGCTTAACATGTTAAGCGCCTTTGTTATCATAATGAACAAGATTGAGCAGCAGAGACTGCTGCAGACTGGTTTGAATGCCCTCGACTCATGTTCGAGTTTTCGAGTTGCCAATAAAACTCAAGGCCCCACAGCACGAGATGACGCAGCCTGCCATAGACAGGAGCGATTTTCTTCTTCTGAGGGTCATGAATAAAGACGTGGTTGGTAGCGCGCCTTGGTTGAGTCGACTCGACCGGGTCGCCGTCCCTAGTTCGCGGCGCTTTTAGGCCGTCACAAACAGAAGTGCTCCATGAGCGACACCGCAGGCATCGGTTACAACGGCATGTACCCGGTTAACCCGGAGTTGGCCAAGTCGGCCCACGTCGGTAGTCTCGAGCAGTACGAGGCCATGCACAAACGCTCGCTCGAGGACCCGGAGAGTTTCTGGGGCGAGCTGGCCCGCGAGAACCTCTACTGGCTCCGCGACTTCGACCAGACCGTCGTGGGCTCGGTGGCCAAGGGCGACGTGGCCTGGTTCCTTAATGGCCAGCTCAATGTCAGCGTCAACTGTATCGACCGTCATGTCAAGAAGCACCCGAACAAAACGGCCATCATCTGGGAGGCAGACGAGATTGGTGAAGGCCGCAACATCTCGTACACTGAGTTGTTGGAGGAGACATGTCGTGTTGCCAACGCTATGAAGCACGCCGGCGTCAAGAGAGGTGACACTGTCGCTCTGTACATGCCCATGATACCTGAGACCATCTTCGTCATGCTGGCCTGTACGCGTATCGGTGCGGCCCACAGCATGGTCTTCGCGGGTCTCTCGTCCGACGCTCTCCGTGACCGTGTCGTTGATGCCACGACCAAGTGGGTGTTCACGGCAGACGAAGGCCGTCGCGGTGGTCGCACTCTTCCTCTCAAGAAGACGGTGGACGTCGCGCTTAAGGGCCTCGACTTCGTACAGAAAGTGTTCGTGTTCAAGCGTACACACAACCCGGAGGTCAACATGAACCCAATCATTGACGTCGACATGGATGCAGAGCTGCTTCTCCACCGTCCTTACTGTCCCGCTGAGCTCATGAACGCAGAGGACCTTATGTTCATCCTGTACACGTCGGGATCCACGGGTACACCCAAGGGTATCGCCCACACAACTGCTGGTTATCTGCTGTACGCCATGATGACGGCCAAGTACGCGTTTGATATTCACGACGAGGATATCTTCGCCTGCGTTGCTGACTGTGGTTGGATCACCGGTCACAGCTACATTGTGTACGGCCCATTGGCGAATGGTGTGACCACCGTCATGTTTGAGAGTACGCCCATGTATCCACATCACGGTCGCTACTGGGATCTGGTCCAACGTCACAAGGTGACCAAGTTCTACGCTGCCCCGACGGCTATCCGTGCCTTGATGGCTCGTGGCAATGACAAGATCCGTGAGTATGACCTGTCGAGCCTGAAGGTGTTGGGTAGCGTCGGTGAACCCATCAACCCTGAGGCGTGGAAATGGTACTTTGAAGTGGTAGGCAACCGCCAGTGCTACATCGCTGATACGTACTGGCAGACTGAGACTGGTGGACACATTGGCGTGGGTCTGCCAGGAGCTACTCCGATGAAGCCTGGGTCGTGCTCAAAGCCTTTCTTCGGCATCGACTTCGTTGTGACAGACGAGAATGGAAACGAGATTGAAGGCAACGGGATTGAGGGGCAGCTGTGCATTCGGTCTCCATGGCCCGGTATGGCTCGTACGGTGTACGGCGATCACAACCGCTACTTGCAAGTGTACACAGCTTCTCATAAGGGTCTATACTTTACTGGTGACGGCTGTCGTCGCGATAAAGACGGCTACTTCTTCATCACAGGCCGTATCGACTATGTGTTGTGTACATCCGGTCACCGAATTGGTACAGCTGAACTGGAGAGCACTCTTGTGGGCCACAGCGCCGTTGCTGAGGCTGCTGTAATCGGTATTCCTCACCGTATCAAGGGCGAGGGTATCTGCTGCTACATTACGCTGGTTGATGGCGCTGAGCCTTTTCCAGAGGTCGAGAAGGAGCTTGTCCTTGAGGTTCGCTCCAAGATCGGTGCGTTTGCGGCTCCTGACACTATTGTTATCGTCCCAGAGTTGCCCAAGACCCGCAGTGGAAAGATTGTACGACGTGTGCTGCGCAAGATTTCCCATGGAGAGGAAGACTCACTCGGTGACATGTCGACTCTGGCCGAACCGGAGGTTGTGCTCGTCTTGATTAGCGCTATGCGTTCCGCTTTGGTGGGAAAATTGCTGTAAGTTTCTAAAGCTAAAAAAAAACGAATCTTGGTAATTGTTTTAGCTATTGTAATCTGAAAATAACACAAAATTTATTAGTCGACCACTGCAACAAATAAAGCTAAGGTGGTGCAACTTTTGGGGTGCCGGCTGGTTACTCGATATTATTATAACACAATGCTGTGGCTAGATGTAGCGGTAGGGTAATCATTTTTTTGCCGGCTCTATCGGCCCTGCGGCCACGACAAGCTTGACTTCATTATCAACTTCACCGTCCGGAGAATTCTTCGTCAAGGCAACAATTGTTTTTTACCCAAGCAACTTCAGGTTACGTATTTATTATTTATCTTTCATTTATCATTTCTCCAGTATTTCTTTTTAATTTAAATAAATATGTCACACATTCAGATGTCCACGAGCAACGGCCTTACGAGTGTGACACTCAGGGCTTAATATCAATCAGAGATACCAAATTAATCTTTGAATACTGTATTCGATGATACCTGAGATCAATACAGCGTAGTCAGTAGCATCAGGATCACAGATCCCTTACTCCAAACAGAATATTCACTGATGACACACTATCAGATATACGCAAAACCAACATATTTCTGTTTGCCGTTATTCACTATGAAACCAACAGACGGGTCTGAACATTATAAGTCGCCGGTTTTAGCTTTTGGATGTAGCCAAACCTGTATTTTCGCAGTTTCCATTTCTCTCTCACTGGCAAAATTTGCATGTTAACTGGCCTTGCCAAAAACAATCGCCTGGTAACCATTCCGTGCTGCAACTGTATCATGATGTCGACATGCTGACGTGTTGAGGACGAACGAGAGCTCGTTTCCTGGAATAGCTTTAATAGCTAAACTCTACTTGGAAAAGCCTCTCTCAGCAGGAGCGCTTTTTCAGTATCAGCAGCTACGCGGTAAATGAAATGCAGACCGGTTTTGATGAAGACCGGGTGGAAAATTGTTGCGTATTATATAGTATAATTGGTCGGAGTACCGAGCACACACTATTTACACGTAAGATCGGGTTAACCAAGAAGTGCAAGCGCAACTCAATAATTACATATTAATATCCGACTACAGTATCATTTTATCTGAAATGATACTGATATCGCCATGATCCAGTGTCAATGCCAGAAGATCTTCAGTCTGACACGATTACTCTCAATATCAGGATCACAGATACCCTCTGCCGGTGATATGAAGCCCTAGTGGCACCTGCTTGCTGACATTCACACGAAACGACAATCTATTGCTCCACCAGCGTAACTGTCGCAGGGGGGTTGTCAGAGTCGCTTACCCTCGCTGCAATCATCTTGTAGGTGGTGGCAGGCAAGGAATGACGCACCACCAGCAAACGCTTCGATGCGCTCGCTTTGCTCAAGAAGGCTATCGAAATACGATCACACGCCGACGAAACGAGGCAGATACACTAGCACATCGCCGCACACGCGCTCAACACCGCCTCCTACGTGAGAGAGAAGAAGAGGTCGATGATATACCTGCTAATGATGACCCGGAGCCGACAGAGTTCCCTGTACCGGGACCTGTAGAAGAGGTTGTAGCGTTTGTAGACCAAGGTGAAGTTGCTCCGCCCGTTGAAGTGATTGATCTTACTGATCCTGTAAAATCCCAAGAAAAGGAAGAAATCCAAGAGCATGAAGAGATCAGAGAGCGATACGAAGAGGGCCACGACCAAAACCAAGACCAAGAGTAGGGAGCCCAACAGACCGAAGAGTGTATGGTATGCTACGACACCTTTTCATTGAGAGACCTCGAGGGCTGCTCAGCGGGGAATGAGCAGTGCGATGTGTACTTCGATCATTCGTGCATTGAGCGATGCTTGTATATAACACCAAAGTGTCCAATGTGTCAAGTCGACGTTCCTGGCCGGCAGGCGCACCGTTCACGACCACCTTTATGTACAGTGCGTCATTTATCAACACCAGATCGTCGTGGCCTTCGCTCCGAGGGGACGGGTTGCGACCACGTGTACCATTTTGAGTGTCTCTACGCAAAGTGCTTAAAGCTCAGCCGCCTTCACGTTACGCACATGCGTGGCTGCGTACTCTGCCCTAAGTGCACCTTACAGGAGGGTCCAGAAAGCCTCACAGCGTCTGTAGGTAGCAGGAATCTTGCGCATCGGTTGCGTTATGTGGACATCGAACTAAATGTCGTTCGCAGCTTGGCTGAACTACCGCGCTATTAACACAACTGTTTTCAAAAAGATGATTCAGGCTTTTAGTTAATCGTCAATAGGGACCGACACAGAACGTGTGTATGGTATATTGATATGGAGCTTAATTCTTAATAAACAGAGGCAGACACAGAACATTTGTATGATTTTATATAGATGGAGCTTAATCGTCAAAAGAGGACACAGAATAAATATTGTGCGTTGTCGAGCAGAATATGTAGCAATGTTAGTGTGAGAGATTCTTGCATCTCGCCAAAGTGTCTCATACAGGCGTGAGAATCAAGTTGGCCCTCAGCCTATGGACCTGGATTATGCTACTTATGCATGCAAGCATTGTGTCACTTTTTAAATTGATCTTTACTAAAGAATATCCACATTCATCGTTAGCCTCATGCAGTGCCACATGAGGTTTTGTGAAGCGGGGCTGCCGTAGCTTTAGCGTCAGAAGAAGACGTTCGACTCAAAGAGTCACTAATACTAAGTTCCTTATCCAAAGGAGCTTACAGCCCAAGACCAGGGCTAAAAATTAATACTGTAACTTTATGCTTCAAATCCAGAAGTGTTTTAATTACTATTATTGCGGCCAAGCTGCCTAGGGGTAAATGTATCTGTTTAACTATCTAGCATAGTATCCAAATCTCAAATGCATAACGTGTGGCTTTCAGCCACCGTACTGAGAACCTTGTTAACTCTCCAACTTATGTACTGAGAGTTTGTTAATTATCCGGGTACCTCGTACCCCTGTGTGCTCCACACCATGTAATCCCGTTAGCCCCCCCACTAAGATGAGAACATTCCGTCCTCAAAACTTTCCTCGGCGGGGTCACGTCTTATTTAGACGGCGGTGGCTACTACACCTCACACCAGCGTTGTACAGATCCGTGAGCTCACAAACGCCTACGCATCGTTGATGCCCAGCTTCTCGTCGTCGGACCATGGGCCAATGTTCCAAGCGCAGCGTGCATCTTGCTCTCAAGCGGTCTCAGACCTACGCTCGCGCTCCGCGCCTACTCCAAGAGCTGCAAACCGCTTGGAGCAATGCTCTTGACTCATCCGAGTCGTCGACAACAGCTCAGCGGCTGAACACTCGCTTCACAAGCGACAGGTCCGTGGTTCAAACCCACTAGGGCACAGCCCTCTCGTTCCATGAACGATTGTCCACGCTTGGACAAGCTTAAGGGCAACACCCGTTTAGCTCAATGGCTGAGCGTTGGCTTTGCGAGCCACATGTCAGTGGTTCGAACCCACCAGGGCACTGCCCTCTCGCTCCATGAACGGTTGCCCGCGCTTGAACAAGCTTAAGAGCAACACCCTTTTAGCTCAGTGGTCGAGCTTTGGCTTTGGAATCCACGGGTCTGTGGCTCGACTCCACCCGGGCGCAGCCCTCTCATATCATGAGTAGTCCGTACTTGGACAAACTTATGGGCATCGCCCTTATAGCTCAACAGTAGCGCTCCGGCCTGGAAAGCCAAAGGCCAGTGGTTCGATCCCCGCCCGGGATACCACTTTCGCTGTTACAGCGCATCCACATCTGGATTATGCTCATCGAGCAAGTGTGTAAAAAAACTATGCGTCTATCAGGACGCTTGTGCCTGAACCTTGTTCAGCACAAGACGAAGCACCTGCTTCCTTCGGGACCATGTCCCTAACTCCACGAGGTCTCTCCACCTCCTGCTCCCGCTGCGAGCACCGCTCACACGTAAGAGCTGGCTGCTGCAGCCACTGACCAGAGCCTGAACTTAACTACTGACCTGATCGCTCCCCACTCTACTGGGAGGCGCCCAGCGCCTGGCGACGCTGTCGCACGCCATGGTGGCGCTTCGGCACAGGGTGTGCCCGGTCGTAAGCGTCCACGACGTCAGGGCAATCTTGCCGGAGTATAACCTCAAACTCCCTTGAGTTCTGTGAGTGAGGGTAACCCCTCCACTTCACAAAGTACTGCGTACCCTGGCGTCTACGCCGTGCCACAAGGCGTTCCACGTGATAGAGGAGCTCACCATGCTCATCAAGCAGAGCGGGAGGAGGCCTTGCCTCAGCTGGGCTCTCCCGGGGAGAGTCAGCACTTGTCGGAACGGCGTCTGCGTCTATACGACGCCGGCGTTCACGACGCAAACGTTCACGTTCACCGCCCATCGGTCGGTCTCGAGGAGATGATCCACCTTGAGGATAGGTTAGAGCCACCACTGTTGACTCACAGCCAGGTCTCGGACCTTGAGCGTCCAGGCGCTCGACTAAACGGTCAGCTTGCCTTGCTTCTGCATCTCGAGCACTTCGCTCCGCGACCGGCGGCTCTGCCACATGCTGCTGATCAGCCATATGTGGGTCCACCACTTGCTGTCGTTCAGCCTCCCGTGGCTCTACCACCTGCTGCCCTGCAGCTGTCCATAGCCCAGCCACCGTTGGCGCCAACGCCTCCGCGCTCACCTGAGCAGGGTCTTGATATGGCTTAAGCAAGCCAACATAGAAGACCGAATGCGTGCGCATCTTCGTCGGAAGGTTGAGCGTATACGCAAGGTCCTTCCTGGCCACGACCTTGAACGGTCCTATGAACCGAGGTCTTAAGTTCGTCTTGAAGACTGCAGACACTGCTCGAGCAGGTAGATTTTTAGCGGTTGTTAAAACTAATATTCAGACCTCAAACCTCTCACCATTGCTTCTGCCCTTGGCATCTGCATGTTCCTTCTGCGTGTCTTGGCTTTCAGCCATAGCGTCGCGTACTTGACGCATTACGCTCAGTCTCAAAGAGACAAAGTCATCGACTTGCTTGCGAGCCGCAACAGGGCTGACATCAGCTAGCCGCTCGGCTATCCCTCCCCCATCAAGCCCTGAGCTACTGCGTGGCGGCGTCAGTGGGACGCGAGGGTTAACTAAGCCGTTCACATAGAACGGAGTGTAGTCTGTCGAGGCGTGCACTGCATTATTTATATGCGAACTCAACGAGTGGGAGCATATGGCTCCAGCGTTTTGGCGCCTCAGCGCATACGCTTCGGAGGATATTTTCCACAACGCGATTCACGCGTTCGGTTTGACTGTCGGTCTCCGGATGGTTCGCTGTTGACATGTCCAAACAAGTGCCGAGCACTCTCAAGAGGGACGTCCAGAACTTTGCGGTGAAGCACGGGTCTCGATCCGAGACAATCGCCTCAGGCAAGCCATGTTGGCGAAAGCCTCGGTCTAAAAAAGTGCAAAGCTGTACCCTCACCACCAATGGTGTCTGGCACCGCCGCTAAATGAACCATCTTGCTCAATCGGTCGACAATACCCGTGTTTCCCCCCCTGATCCTTGGGAAGACCAAACACAAAGTCCATACTCATAAACTGCCAACATCCCTTGGGGACAGGCAAACCCACCACTGGCGCTGCCGTGCTCGGCGCGGACTTTGTCCGTTGACACGTCTCACACGTGCGTACATAGGTGCCGACCTACTATACATCTTGGGCCACCAGTACATCGAGCTCACCGAGCAATATGACTTCTAAGTGCCCATTCACGGGCGTATCATGCACCTCATAGAGGATTCGATACTGTAGATCCTCATGATGAGGAACGACTACACGAGGGTTATTCTCAGAGTCGGTGCCGAAGTACAGCATACCGCCATCGAGCGAGTATCGATACAGCCTCGCGCGTAAGCGCCCAGACAATTCCTTGTCAGCGTTTTTAAACTCTTCGCTCCCAAGAGCCCGTAGCAGTGCTACACATGTGTCGTCCTGTGCATAAACTTTGCGTATCAAGTCGGGCACTGACGACGTCACTGTCGTGACATGTGCTAGCTCGTAGTCCGGCCTGCGCGAGAGCGCATCGGCCACTACATTAAGCCGCCCCGGCTTGTACTTCACCTCAAAGTTGTGCTCGGAAAAGAAGGAAAGCCATTTTGCCATTCTCTGAAAGAGATGAGGCGACTGTGTCGCAGTGCGTAGCGACGCATGACCAGTAAAGATCACAAAAGGCTTAGAACCTAGCAGATGTACCCTGCTTTGACTAGAGCATACTTCTTTGTAAGAAGCTCTTTATCATTAGATGGATAATGCTTTTCTGCAGCTATGAGCTGGCGAGACTCAAACGCAATCACGCGTTCACACCCTTCGGCGTCTGCTTGTAGTAAAGCACAACCAATTGCAAAATCGGAGGCGTCACAGACGACGCTAAGCAGACGATCCGAGTCCGGTAGCGCAAGGATCAGAGCCTGGAGAAAACTCTCCTTCACAGCCTCAAAGGCTTCGTCGTGCTCGACGTTCCAGCACCATGATGCGTCCTTCTTATGGAGATCTGACAATGGGCGAGCCATCTCCGCGTAGATCGCGCTGTACTTGTGCAAGTAATTGGCTAAGCCTACCCCCACTCGCGTAAGTCTTTTTGGTTCTTGGAAACACGCCAGTCCACGATGGCCTTGACGTTGGCAGGATCCGCCCTTAAGCCTCGCTTCCCAATGAAGCACCCGAGGAAAGGTATTTCCTCCGCGCCAAAGACGCACTTGTCCAAGTTGACATACAACTAATTAGTGCGCATGCACTCGAGCACCGCTCGCAAGTGGTCAATGTGGTTCTCCACGTCTGCCTTTCCGAGCCCAGCACGACTATGAACGAATATATCGTCAAAGTACGTTTGAGCGTACGCCCGGTGGGGCCTAAACAACTGCGTCACAAGACGATTGAACGCTGCTGGTGCGCTCGACAGCCCCTGGGGCATGACCAGCCACTACCAGAGCATACCGCTCGGAGTACTCACCGCTGTCAGCGGAATGTCGCTCGCTCTCATGATCAATTGGTAGTAACCATCGACCAAGTCGAGCGCGCTGTACAACGTACAGCTTACCATGTTGCTCTACAGAACAATCTTGCGAGGAATCGGCGTGTGCGCCGGGATAGTGACCGCATTTAGCTGGCTAAAAGCATGAACAACGCGCCACTTGCCGTTCGGCTTTCTGACACAGAACGTGGGTCTCGAGTGCGGAGACTTACTCTCACGCACCATCCCTGCCTCGTGCTTCGCTCGGAAGAATGCGTCAATGACGTCACACTGCTCTCTCAGCAAAGGCCATTACCTTGTCACGCCGTATTTGGTTCCAGGAGCTAGGTCAATCTCATGACACACGCCTCGATCCGGAGGTAGGCCCATCGGTGGGTCTTTCGAGACAACGTCTCCATACTCCTTCACCACAGGATAGAAGGGATCTGAAGAATCATTAAGGATCGACGATCCACTTCTTGCGCTCGGCGCCTTCTTGGTGTCCTCTAGGACCGCGTCGTCCATGACGGATGAGGAGTTCAACTCCCCCTCAGGTCCCAGCAGGACCACCTCGGCTAGCTCGCCTGCCTTCAAGGCTTCGCCAAACTCAGCAATGGACATCTCGTCCAGCTCTAGCAGAGCGTTTGCATCGGGCAGAGCGTCAAGGCTGATTTCGCCTTCGACCCCCCCCCGTCACTCCGCTCACGAGTATGTACAGCTGCTCACAGCAATCACATGGAGCCTCACCGCTCGTCACGTTGGACACCACGTCCGACGTCGAAGACGTCACAGACGCCCTGCGTCTTCTTCTCTTCTCCCTCCGCGATCGATCCCGGCCGGATAAGGGCGGTGTGGCGACATCTCCATCACCACCACCGGGCGCAGCAGCACTATCACTCCTCGAAGAGGATACAGTGTCTCGCAAGACACTCGGCTGAGAGCCAAGCGGTCCTTGACCCTCACACAGTGAGCTAGGTATCACTTCACCTGCATCGCCTGGGCCGCGCCCATGATGCCTCGCCTCGCAGTCGACAGCGACCCTCGGGCCACGCAGCGGTAGGTCATCGACCTGACTCGTATCACTCAGTGGATTACGCGCCACTCCGCGCTTATCCTCGCCAGGTCCCAGCAGTAGGGCATTGACCTGACCTGCACCGCTCAGCGGATAACGTGCCGCACCACCTACGCCCTCAGGGCAAACAGCAACCTCGTTGGTGACAATTTCGGACATACCAATGTCCAGCGCTACGGCCGCCTCGGCCTCGTGCTCGCGCCGAAAGCGCTTCTGCTTCCTAGCAGAGGTGGGTTCTTGACTCACCAGACCTCCACTAGGAGCAGGGTGCGACACATCCAGCGTTTTCGACTTCCAGTCGATCCATGGCTCATGGCGTTCCAGCCATGCCATGCCAAGGATGATGTCATTCCTCGCATCCAGGTCTAAGACCAAACTACATTCCACGCTATCGAAGTTCTCAAACTTCACTCCAAGGTCGACATAGACCTTCGACACAGCTACCAGTGTCCCC